TCAAGGAGATGGATTGATATGGTGGCTGCGATGATGGGCTCAAGTATAGCAGGGATTGTGGGGCTGGCGCGGGATCGGGCAGTGTTTCGTTCTGCTGTGCGTGGGGTCGCTATGAGTCGGAAACGACTTGACGGCACTTAACAACAACAACAACAACAACAACAAAATCCAGGAGATATTTTAGCAATAGGAAGGTAATCTATTTGCAATAAAGTCTTAGGTACATTGTATTATATAGGAAATTTTTTCAATTCCATATTCTTAAACATAATTTTCTCTTATTGCCCAATCTTTTCCATAAAATATAGTTTGTGCAGTGGCAGTAAGGAATTGCTTAGAATGTCAACAACATTCACAACTGAAAACTAGAGGAGATACAGCAAAAGGCCAGAGGATAACATATAGTCTGATTCCCATGGGGAAATCTGCAGCAAAGGTAAGAATACAGAATAACTGATTTTAAAAAAGCAAACATTTATTTTATGATTGATATCTTAAATTTATTTGTTCATTTCAACTTAAAGTTAAATAAATCTGACAGATTTCCCAACATAGTTATTTTAAGCTGTGGATATAACATTCAAATATTTGTGTTTAAATATACAATAAAGATTTGATTATACTTAATCTTGTCCGCTTTTCTAAATGTTTACTTTTCTTTTTCCTATGATTTCTTTTCCTTCAGATAATGTCAATTTGTATTTCATGTACTTGGTGAGGTAGCATACTGCTTGCTTTTTCTTGCAGGGTTCTCTTCTATACTTTCCCTATGCCTACCTCCTCTTGTGTTCCCCCGTACACACACACACACACACACATACACACAGAAAAATGTAGGGGGAAGAAAGGAAACTGGGAAAAGAAATATTGTAGACTTGCTTTTCTGGGTCTTAGAATACTGTGTTTATCTTTAAAAAACAATATTGATGTTTGTATATATATTTTTTTTGTCTTAAATAGAGTCCTGTGGACATCATAACTGGTGGTATATCTCCAGTAAGAGATCTTGACAGACTCCTACAAGACATGGATATTAATCGGCTTAGAGCAGTTGTCTTCAGAGACATAGTAAGTTACAGTAGTTTTTTCAAATACTCTGTCAGTTGATACATATTTCTTTCTGATATCAAAGTATTTAGTAGGGCTAGAAAGGCCTAGAGATGAATTTTCTTAAGAATGAGTTTAGAATGTTAGATTGTTGGAAAGGATTGTCTATCTAAATAGTCTGTCAGGGTAATGATAATCAAAAGATGGTACATTGTTATATACTAAGCACTGCAAGTGCTTTTCATGTACTTATTAAATACAACAACTTCTTGAGTTGTGTACTTATGTAATTTCCATTTTATAGATGAGAAATCAGAGGAGCAGAGAGCTTGAGTGACTTGTCAAAGTTAATGAAACTACTGAATGACGGAGCCAGGTTCAAAATCTATCTGTATAACTCCAGAATCCATGTTCTGAATGTAATATAATATTCAACTTCTGAATGTCATATTATTATACTGAATATAGTCTAGTTTTCCTTCAAAGGTGCATTAATATGAATTATTCCTCTCAGTATGATATTACTTACTATTTTAGATGAGAGTTTTGTTTTAGCTAATTTTAATAAAGAATATGGCTGTTTCATGAAAAAAATTTAAGTCACATGGGAGGGAATAGAGGTGAGAATTAAAATCATGGTTGATTCCACTTGCCAGGATATGTAGTAGTATTAGTTAATATTTTTTGAACACTGACTAGATATTAAGCACCCAAACCAAACCTACTGCCATTTAGTCTATTGAAACTTGTAGCGACCCTGTAAAACAGGGCAGAACGGCCCCATAAGATTTCTAAGGCTGTAAATATTTACGGCATCAGACTACCACATTGTTCTCCCATGGTGCAGCTGGTAGATTCAAACTACCAACCTTTTGGTTAGCAGCTCAGCTGCTTTAACCACTGTACTACCATGGTTCCTTAGATATTAAGCATGGTACTGGATAATCCAATTCTGTATTACGTAACAATTTCTTGTTAACTTGAAAACCTCAGTTTTTCATTGTCCCTCCTCTTGTCTGTTATGCTTTAGACTTCTATGATTCTTCACTAAGTTTTTATATACTTACAGAATTTAGAGTATAAGCACTGATAATTTTTGAATACTTACTACCTATTAAGCACAGTGATGAAAACACTATATCTATTACCTCATTCAATAATGTCATAATAACCCAATGTGGAAAATAGTAATATTAGGTTAAGTAATTTGCTCAAGATCATGGAACTTAAAAAGATGGAAGTAAATAAAAGAACTAGGGAATCTGATTCTTGATATTTTAATTTTAACCAATAGACTGTACTATCTCCCTATATTTCAATTTGCTGGTTTTTGTTAGCCATTATTATTACATTCAGAATCTATCATCTTTTTTTCCTTTTTAGAGCTCTCTGACCCTGCTCATCATGGTCCATTTTGGGACCAAAGGTTACTGTTTTTCTCTCTCTCTGGCAGTGCTGAGTCTATCACCCTATAACTTTGTATTTCCTAAAATAATCTTTAAAAATCTAGAGTAGATGATGTTACTCTTTTGCTTTAAAACTTTCTGGTGGCTTCCCATAACACTTAAAATGACATCCAGACTCCTCACACTGGCTATATAATCTGGCTTCTGTGGACTTTTCCAACCTGTTGTTATAACACAGTACTTGTCGACAGAATCAAAGTATCTCATTTGTCTACCATGTCACTTTATTTATTTATTTAATTTTATTGTGATTTGGGTGAGTCTACCATGTTACTTTTGAAAGTAATAAATAGTTTTAAATATTTTATGAATATAAATATTAAATAATCATTTTATGGGAGTTTTAGAAAAGAGAAAACAAAAAACTATATTCTTATAATTAATCCTAGAGTTTAGCTTCTTCTAGCATAAGCAAATTTTAATGAAAAAGGAAACATACTACCCTGAAGAAAAGTATTATTACCCTGAGCCTAAGAAATAAAGTTTTTAATCATTCTAATCTGGGTTCAGATTTGCCTTTTCACTTATATTTACTTAAATTTCTGAGGCTCATGTTGTGCAATTGAGTTAATGACTGTGTATGAAGTATATAGCACAGGGCCTGGTTCACAGTAAGTGTTCAATAAATGACAGCCACAGTATATGTCAGGAGCTAGGACTGAGACATACGGCCCTGTGGAGTATTTGTCATTTGTGGTCACAAATGAAGTGTACACTATAAATGTCATACTGTAGTTAGGAAACAGAACAAATCAATGGGCTAAAACACGATTTAGATAGACATAAATAATTTAGTACAGATTAAGAAATTAAAACCAAATAGGTAAAAAAGAAACAAAACAAATAGATTATTTGCCTGAATTTTTAGAGTTGATATTATTAGCAGCAGGTAATGTTGTAGATGGCAGAATTGTGCCAGAGGAACACAGGCATGACTAGAGTAAAGGGACAATGTATATTTATCTTTTCTACCTAGACTAAGACATTCTTACCCATATATTCAAAACATTACCATAGATTTTCATCAGATTACAATTATGTCTCATAATTGCATCAAGTGAAATGTTTAGGTTAAGTCTACATTACTTCATCTAACATTGATTGTATCCAAATCTGATACTAGTTAATTATTTTTTTTTTAAATCATTTATATCATTAGTTTTCATTTATTTCTCTACTTGACAACAGTGTTTTGTTTTGTTTTACAAATTTTATTGTGATTTGGGTGAAAGTTTACAGAGAAAATTCATCTTCCATACAACAGTTCACATATACTTTGTCTTATGACATTGACTAATCTCCCACAATGCAATAGTTCTCCTCCAACCTCCTCCCCATACCCACCTCTTCCCTGTGTCCTTCCCTCCCCTGCACTTCTGCCCTCAAGCTATCTCCCTGTGCATACTCAGCCCTTATATTCTCCCATGATTGATCTCTCCAAGGAGTGTATCTACCTAATGTAAGTCTTCAGCTCATATGCCTGTCTTTTGTTTGGCTGGACGCTACAGGAGTGGGTTCAATTCCAGACCTGAAGGG